TAAGTAGAGGGTTTCAGAATTTCTATTGTTATTTATACTATTTTCCATTATTAAACCTAATAACTACAGGCGCTCTGTAGATGCGTTTTTATGCAATTCCAAGAACTAGATGGAATTAGTGGTAAGCCTTGTGTTCCTCAATCTACTTTTTTTTTCTTTTACACACACTTTCTATTCATTAGTAATCCCAAGAGAGCTTCCATACATTTTTGAGGTTCTGCTCTTTTCTTTTTCAGTTCCCACCAAGTCCTCTTACTAACTGATAGCATTCCTTTTGCCTTTTTCTTTATCCTACAAGGGGCTTTTTAATGTCGATATCCTCACAGGAGCTAATTTCCCTGCGGCGAGCACGATTGAAAAAGCAGGATGAAGCGAAGCAGAAACTAAAACAGGATGTATTAACTGAAGACAGTCATTCAACTGCTCGGTTGAAAAATGGCTTCACACCCTCTTCCTCCCGTGCACCCCCACACCCTGCTGCCCTTCCTGAGGAGTCTAACGTCAAGGGCTTAGGGCATTCCAACGTGGATAGGGCCGTGGTCGCGGTGCCACTCTTAGCATCGGAGATCACTCCCAAAGTCATGGCGATCCGTGATGCCATTCCAGGGGAGATTACCTATGAGGAACTCGCACGTCGAAAGCGTCTACGTTATGATTCGTGTTCCTCACTAGAGAAGCTCCTAGCAGACAGAGGTGTGATACTGAGTACGGCAGATGATTCTATAAATACCAACATTGATCATTTCCACACCTTACTCCCTTTAGAGGCGTTTGATGACACCATGTTTGAAGAATTTACCCTGTCTGAGTGGGCAACACGTATTAAAGAAAATTATGGCATGCCGTGCCGCGCTCTTTATATGCAAACCGAGAACGGGATCTGGCTCACCGCGCAGGCTGTGGGCTGTGATGTCGCTGCGGGGCGCTTTAAAGTAGAGATCGACGCTAAAAAACCTACAAAGGGTTTCCCTTCTTCCCTCTCTTTATTATTACCACGAATTTGTGTGTGTTTTGACGCTGAAAACCCAATCACTTTTGCCACGCGTTTTGCTTCTGCCTATCATCGCCGCCAGCATGCAGAAGATGTTTTGCGTGCAGAGCTTTACATTGAGTCCGTCCCGCCCGATGAGTGCCAAACATTAGATTCCAGAGTGCAGTCACGTATTAAAAAGCTCGCAATAAGCACGTTGGCGCTAGTCCAGGGGGAAAGCATTCTAGATGCCCAAGCCGTAGCTGAGGAGATTCGAGTTGATTACAGTCGCTGCATGAATACCGATCTCCTTCGCAACTTCTCCAAAACCAATACCTTTTCCCACTTGGCATTCCTGCATAATTTAGAGGCAAAAAAACAAGTGACCCCCATGTATGGCGTGGCGCCGCCCTCTGGCGATGAAACCCGTCTGGCTAAAATCATTGAGTCCTTTCAGAAAAATTCCCTTTTCGCGCGAACGCTGACCCCCTCCTTCATTTGCAATCAAGTGCGCGAGTGTAATGAGAAGCTTTTGTCAAATCCGATATTCCTGCTGAGCGCTGATCTAAAAAAAAAGCGGCCGATAATGCCCATCAGCTTTGATGAGCTTCAGACCTCTGCAGTGCGCAACAGTGCACGATCTTTGCGCGAAAAGTGGTCTAATGTAATTGTATCCAATCTAAAAGAAGCTTTAGGGAGATTTAAAAGGGAAGATGAAATGCACCTGAAATACATCGATGAAGATGATTACAGGGGCACCAAAATGGCAAACTTTATGCGGATGCTAAACTGTGAAATGCAGGACACCTTAAACCACTTTCTCAAATTTAACATCGAGGCCTTCACTCGATTTATTGAGGATGCCGGAAATTACCGTTTGACGATTCACAGCATCGATGATGTTGAAATATGCGAGGACAATTATCCCGCGCCCACCGAAGCTTTCGGCTGGAACGCGTGCGTTTCCGAATTGCTTTTGCAAAAACCATTGTACCGCCCCCCACCGCTTTTAAGAATTTCTATCATAAGTGACCGAAATATGTGCGTCACCTCAAAGAAGCCGAAATCGCATAGTAAATCATCAAACCACCCAGACACTTCCCACGACGACTCGGGTAATATTTCCGACGGGCAGCAATCGAAATCCTCAGAAGCCTTGGACGAAGAGTGTCCCTCATTTGTATATGGCATTTCTATAGATGAAATTCGCTCAAATATCCACGGACTCGTGAAGCGATGCCTTTCTATGCACGGTGACTTTCGTACGGTTGAGCGCAGCCTTTTCAGTTTCCTCCACGATAAAAGCCTCGCAATGCTGCAGTCCATGAGCTTCAGCGACCCGTTTGTAGAATCCTGCATTGGACGAATCGATCGGGTGTTGGAGCGGATGGAGGAGGCTCTGAGGCAGTACTTAGATACCTTTAAGAGTTTTGAGAATTTAGCCGATTTTGATCTTCAGACATACATGGATGAGTTTAAGGAGCGTTTCCCACGAACAAAGGGGATTGAGGAAGAAATCAGGAGCTTTATGCGCTGGCAAGACGAAATACAAAAAACTATACCGGCCGAAAAGGACTTGGGTATGATTCTTATTGATTGCCTCGAGTTAAAGCTGCAGCTCACTTCCAAGTGTAACCAGGTCGTCTCAAGTGTGTTAGCCTTGCTGGCTAATCGCGCTGTTCAAAAAGAGGACATCATCGACGCTAAATTTACCGAGCTGCGCAAAACTCTTATTAAACCAACGGAATCCCCTGAAAAGGTGGTGGCGGCGAGAGAGTTTATCAAGGGCATTCCTGAACAACTGTTTGACATTCAGATCATGATTGAGGAGACGCGTGAGATCCACGACCTCCTCCACGTATTTCACCATAACATCCCAGAGGAGGAATTTAACAGAAAGTGGCATATATTCGGTTGGCCCTCACAACTGGACGACGAGATTACCCAACGCACACAGGAGCTGCAGGAGACCAAGCGGTACATGACCGCCTCTATGCATCGCGCGCAGGAGATGTTTTCTTCTGAAATAGAATCCGTACAGAAGGTTGTGCAGCAGTACTACCTTCACTCTAACCTCCCCAAGCTCAATGAAACTGCCAATGATGTCCGCTCAGTGCTGGAAAAAATTCAAACGTTGCGTTCCCAGGCGAACACCTTTAATCTGCACGAAAATCTTTTCAACCTGGAAAGAACCGATTATTCAGCAGTGCATCAGTTATCGACAGATTTCGAGCCCTACTCTTTGCTGTGGTTAACCATCGAAAACTGGCATAATGCCATGCACACGTGGCATAATATTCCTTTTACCGAACTCGATGCCGAGTCAATAGAAAAACAGGTAGCTGAAAATCTAAAGGCGATGATTCGATGCACGTCTGATCCTCGGCTCACGCCAGATCTTATCGACATCGCCGAGCGCACGTTGGTTTCAATTGAGGAGTTTAAACCGCTGGTGCCGACTATCACCTCCCTGCGCGCTCGTGGCATGTACGACCGCCACTGGGTGCAGCTCTCCAAGGAAATCGGGAAAGATATTCGCCCAGGCGTCACGCTCAAGAACCTTTCGGATATCACCACTCTCCACCTGGACGAGTATGAGAACACGCTAATTGGCATCTCTGAGATTGCGTCGCGTGAGTATCAGATCGAACTTTCGTTGAAGAAGATGAAGGAGCACTGGGGGACTCTTTGTCTGAACCCGAAACCACACAAGGAGACTGGATGCTTCATTATCACTAAAGAGGTTACCGACGAGACACAGGAAACCCTAGACGATCACACTTTCATCACCCAGTCGCTCAGCTTCTCACCATTCAAAAAGCTCTTTGAGGAAGACATTCAGGAATGGGAGACGTCTCTGCGAGTGGTGCAGAGTGTCCTTGATGAATGGATTAACTGCCAAAAAGCGTGGCTTCATTTGGAGCCTATATTTCAGTCCGAAGATATTTCGCGCCAGATTCCCCAGGAGTTCAAACGATTTCAGCAGGTGAACAAAAATTGGAATTTCTTAACAAGCAGGGCCCATGATATCAACTTTACGATGCAGTTCTGTCAAACCACAGATAACTGTCTGCAGATGCTGCAGGAGTGTAACTCACTCCTTGAGCTCGTGGGGCGTGGGCTGAACCAATACTTGGAGAACAAACGTGCCTCTTTTGCGCGCTTCTACTTCCTGTCTGATGACGAACTGCTGATGATTCTGTCAGAGGCAAGGGATCCACAAAAGTTGCAGCCACAATTCCGTAAGTTGTTTGAAAATATCGCTAAACTCGATATGCGTGGCGGTGAAAATGAGATGTTCGGGATGCATTCTCACATGGATGAGTACATACCTTTTCATCAGCCCGTTCTGCCGAGAAAGTACGTGGAAAATTGGCTCACTGAGGTCGAGAACATGATGAAGCTTTCCATACGCATGCAATTGGAAAAAGGTATCCATGAGTTCAGCGTGATGGATCGCAAGAAATTTGTGACCAGTTTGCCTGGTCAGATCGTTATTGCGGTAACGCAAATTATGTGGACACACGAGTGTGAAAACTCCCTAACGACGCATGGTTCCTTGGAACCCTACGCCCCGAAGGCGCAGGAAAACCTCCAGTTGTTAATTGAAACCGTGCGCCAGCCGTTATCCAATCTGCAACGTATGAACCTTAGTGGTCTTATCACTATTGAGGTACATGCCCGCGATATTGTGGATAATCTAGTCCAAGCAAATACCAACAGCATATACGACTTTGAGTGGATCTCGCAGCTGCGTAGTTATTGGATAAACAATGACTACTATTTGCAGCAGGTTGAGGCACAGTTTCGCTACGGGCATGAATACCTTGGCAATAGCACTCGTCTTGTAATTACACCGCTGACCGATCGTATCTATCTCACGCTGACGGGAGCTATGCATATGTTCCTCGGTGGCGCACCCGCCGGCCCTGCTGGAACCGGCAAAACGGAAACGGTCAAAGATCTTGCGAAGGCTGTGGCCAAGCAGTGTGTGGTGTTTAATTGTCAAGAAGGCATGACATACGCATCGATGGGTAAGTTCTTTAAAGGGCTTGCCCAGGCCGGTGCATGGGCTTGCTTTGATGAGTTTAACCGCATTGATGTTGAGGTGCTTTCCGTGGTGGCGCAGCAGGTTTCTTCGCTGCAGGCGGCTGCGCGGTCGAAGCAGTACCGCATTCCTTTCGAAGGAACTGAGATTGTGGTAGATCCGACCTATGCCATTTTCATCACGATGAACCCCGGCTACGCTGGGCGAACGGAACTTCCGGATAACCTCAAGGTTCTATTTCGTCCTGTCGCGTGCATGGTCCCGGACTACGCGATGATCGCTGAGATCCGTCTCTTTTCCTCCGGTTATTCGGATTCCCGGATGCTCGCTCAGAAGATGGTGGCTACTTTTAGACTGAGCTCGGAACAGCTATCCACGCAGGACCACTATGATTTTGGTATGCGTGCGGTTAACACAGTCATCTCTGCCGCCGCACTGATGAAACGAGAGTACCCGGATGATCCAGAGAACGAGCTGTTGTTGCGTGCCCTACGCAACTCAAACGCGCCAAAGTTCCTCGACACCGATTTGCTGCTTTTTAACGGCATTGTCTCGGATTTGTTCCCTGGTGTGCAGGTTCCCCCGGCTGACTATGGGGAATTCATGGAGGTTTTGTCTGAAAAAGCGACCGAACGGCACTTGCAGCCCACCGGAGTGTTCATCCGAAAGTGCATTGAGATGTACGAAATGATTATCTTGCGCCACGGCCAAATGATCGTCGGTCCCACCATGGGCGGTAAGACAAGCGCCCGACAGGTCTTCCAAAGCGCCATGATCAAGCTTCGGAAAGAGCTGAACAACATGCGCTTTGCCGATGTGAAAACCTATGCCCTCAGCCCCAAGGCCATCACGATGTCCCAGCTCTACGGCGGCTTTGATATGGTGACCGGGGAGTGGCATGACGGCCTTGTGGGCGAGATATTTCGTACCGCGGCGCGCGATTCCACCGACACGCGGCAATGGATCGTCTTTGACGGCCCGGTAGATGCCCTTTGGATCGAGTCTATGAATACCGTTCTTGATGATAACAAGAAGTTATGCCTCATATCGGGCGAAATTATCGCCATGACGCCCTATATGAACTGTTGGTTTGAGGTGGAGGACCTTGCTGTGGCTTCGCCCGCCACCGTCTCGCGCGCAGGCATGATTTACATGGAGCCTAGCACTTGCGTCGGCATCACAAACCTTGTGCGAAGCTGGCAAATGTATCGTCTGCCGTCTACCATGGACCCCTACAAGGAGTACCTACAAACACTCTGCGAGCAGCTCTTCCCCGTGCTTATCCACTTTGTCCAGACGCAAGTCGTGGAGTACTGCGCCTCTGTATGGACGAACCTGGTCATGTCCTGCTTTAACATCTATGCGTCCTTGTTGGTTCCATTCACTCCCACTCGCATGTACGAAGTCCCACAAGAAAAGCTTGACATTTTGAATGATGTGTACCTGGACTTTTTAGTCTTCTCGATTGTTTGGTCCTTTGGCGCTACAGGCGATGGGGTCAGTTGCAAGCGTTTTGACAAGTTTCTGCGCAATGAACTCTGTCAGCGCGACGTAGCAATCGACCTTCCCGTCATTGACTGCCTGCAAAACTACGAGTTCATCCCCGAAGAACGAAACTGGGTTGCATGGAATGACCGCCTAACGCCTTTCACAACTAAGGTTACGCAGGCAAACATTTCGGATATCATCGTACTTACACCAGACCAAGCGCGCTATAAGTATATTAATCGGCTACTCCTCAAGAACTCCTATCACACCCTATGCTGTGGTCCCACCGGAACAGGTAAAACAGTGCTTCTACAGCAGCTTCTCATGAATGAAATGCCCAAAGAGTTCACCCCCATTTTCTTCACTTTCTCTGCTCGGACAAGTGCTAACCAAACTCAGGATCTTATCTTCTCTAAGTTCGAGGTACGACGGCGTGCTTCTCCACAAATTTGGGGTGCTCCTCTGAACAAAAAGATTATTGTCTTTATTGATGACATGAATATGCCCATGAAAGAACAATACGGCGCGCAGCCTCCTATTGAGATCTTACGCCAGTACATGGACTATCATGGTTGGTATGACCGCATTACACGCGAATTCTTTAACATCGTGGATGTTATTTTGGTAGGCTCTATGGGGCCCCCGGGCGGCGGGCGGAACCATGTGAGCAATCGGTTCCTCCGCCATTTTAATCAAATCGCCTTTCCTGATATTGACGATCGTAATATGAAGCGTATCTTTGTGACATTGATGGACAGCTACTTTGCGCCGTTCCCGGAAGATATCCGTACCAAGGTACAAACCATCGCCGACGCCTCGATTATGGTATTCAACATGGTGGTTAAAGAACTACGTCCGACCCCTATTCATCCTCACTATCTTTTCAATCTGCGAGACTTGTCGAGAGTGATATCCGGTATGGCCAACGCCACCCTGAAATCCGTTCCAGACGTAAACACGCTGATACGCCTGTGGTTACATGAGGAGATGCGAACCTTTAGGGATCGACTCATTAATGATAAGGACCGGGACTGGTTTGATCAATTGCTAGAGAGTCAAGTAAAGCGGCATTTCAAGGTAACTCTCGAGGAGGTCATGCTACCCTCGTCAGGAAATTCGGGCTCTTCGCTTTCGAATTTACTTTTTGTTGACTTTCTTGGTTCTCAAGGTTCAAAGAACTCTCTCTATAACCAAGTTGAGGATTACGACGCCTTGGTGAAGGAATTGGAGAAGCAATTTACTGAGTATAACCTGCATTCCGCGACCCACAAGCTCAACATCGTTCTTTTTACCGTTGCTGTACATCATCTTTGTCGTATCATTCGAGTGATTCGGAAGTTTAACGGCCACGTTTTCCTTCTAGGTGTTGGTGGATCTGGCCGCCAATCACTTTCTCGTTTGGCCGCTCATGTAGCAAACTATGACCTCATGCATGTGGAAATTTCTAAAGGTTACACAATGAATACGTGGCAGGAGGACATTAAAAATATGTTGCGTTCCGTTGGTCTTCATAAAAAGCAAGTCCTTTTTCTCTTTACCGATACTCAAATTGTACACGAGTCCATGCTGGAGGACGTCAACAATCTTCTAAACTCGTGTGAGATTCCCAATCTTTTTATAGGTCAAGAATTTGAGGATTTGCTCAACGCGATGAAGCCCATATGCATTGCGGAAAACCTTTCCTTAGATAAGATCAGCATGTATTCTCGTTTTGTTCGCAATTGTCGCAGCAACTTACACATTTCACTCTGTATGTCACCCCTGGGTGAGACATTCCGAAACCGTTTGCGCATGTTCCCCGCACTCGTGAGCTGCTGTACGATTGACTGGTTTGAAGCGTGGCCTCACCAAGCACTCCACAGCGTCGCGCACAGCTTCCTTGCCCCCATACCACTCTTGAAAAACAACACTGCTGAAATTGAACGATGTGCAGAAGTCTGTGTTTTTATCCATCAAAGTGTGGAGAAAATGTCTCAGCGTTTCTTGGCCGAGGTTCGACGCTACAACTATGTCACCCCGGCATCTTTCCTTGAAATGCTCAGAATGTTTTCCACCTTGTTGGGTTCTCAGACAGAAGCCGATCAAACCAATCAGAACCGATTTAGAAATGGGCTAAGAAAGTTGCGAGAAACCGAGGAAGCGGTCGTGAAGATGCAGCAAACCTTGGCTGAGAAGCAGCCCATCTTAATTGAAAAGAGTGAGTCCATTAAGGCATTAGTGCAAGAAATAGAGGAACAGACTGCGTCAGCCGAGGAGACTAAGATGGAGTCCCAGAAGACTCGTGAGGCGGTTGCCGCCATGCAGGCCGAATGCGCTGGGATTGAACAGCAAGCACAGGAGAAGCTCTCTGAAGCCCTACCTGAACTTGACAGGGCTTTGGAAACGCTAAAAAATCTGAAGTCCGCGCAAATCACGGAGGTGGCAGGGTACAAGGCACCAACATCTGGTGTTGTCATGACTATGCAGGGGATATGCATCCTTTTCCAGATAAAGCCTGTTATGAAAGCGGTTACCCCGATGGAGAAAAAACCCGATTATTGGGCTACGGCGAAGGAGCAGCTGCTGAACAATCCCAACTCCCTCATGCAACGCCTTATTAACTACGACAAAGAGCATATCCCTGGAAAGCTTATTCAGGCTGTTAAACCCTTGGTTACCTCTGAAGATTTTACGCCAAAGAAAATTGCAGGGGCGAGCCAGGCGTGTGCGGCTATGTGTCAATGGACACACGCTATGGTTCGCTTTTACGAAGTTAATTCAAAGGTCGAGCCACTGCGGCAAAGGCTTGCAGTTGCCCAAGAGGCCAACCGTGAGTCTCAAGAAAAGCTCCATCATGCGGAAGCTCGCTTAGATGAGGTGTCGCGCTCTTTGTCTGAAATGCAGAAACGTAAGGAAAGCGCGGAGAAGGAAATGAACCAGCTTGAAGAAACAGTCCGGAATACCGAGCTGAGATTGCAGCGAGCGGCTATGCTAATTGATGGCCTCAAGGGTGAAAAAAAGAACTGGACAAAGTCCTTGGAAGAGCTACGGCAAAACTCAAAATTTCTAATGGGTGATATGCTTGCGGCAGCTGGGCAGATTGTTTACTGTGGTCCTTTTACAGCCGTTTATCGCAAGGAGCTTCTTGACTCATGGAGTAAATTGCTCCGAAAGCATGGTATTCCCCACAATAGTAAACTCTCTGTGTATCACACTCTACAGGACATGGTAGTAACGCGTGAATGGAATATGAATGGGCTTCCTGGGGACATGCTTTCGATTGAAAACTCCCTTTTTCTCACGTACGCGCGGCGCTGGCCACTGATGGTCGACCCTCAAACACAAGCCAACAAGTGGATTCGACAAACCTACAGGGATTCCCTGGAGGTGCTGAAGCCAAACCAAAAGGATCTTATCAAGCGAATTGAGTATTGCATTCGTGTTGGGCGCCCAGTGTTGCTGGAGAACATCGGTGAAGAAATCGACGCCAGTCTCAGCCCACTACTTGACAAACAGATCTTTACACAAGGTGGGATTGAGATGATCCGAATCTCCGAGACGGCGATCCCATGGAACGCTAAGTTTAGATTTTTTATGACCACCAAACGGTCTAATCCGCACTATATTCCAGAAGTTGTGATGCGTGTAACGCTGCTTAACTTTTTTATAACCCCTCAAGGCTTGGAGGAACAGCTGTTGGGTGTGGTGGTGGGACAGGAGCGCAAGGAGCTCGAAACCCGTCGTAGCGATTTGATTCAGATGAATGCGGCTATGAAAGCTGACTTGGTTCACATCCAAAAAACTATCCTCCGAAAGATGGAGGAAGTCCAAGGCGACATGTTGGATGATGTCGAGTTGATCGAGTACTTGAAAGAATCCAAAGAAAAGACTGCTGAGATTGTATCCAAGATGGCGGAAGCTGAGGAGGCTGAAATCAGTATCAATTCCAGCCGCGAGGAATATCGACCAATAGCACAGCACTCTAGTTGCTTGTACTTTTGCTGTTCAAATCTCTCGAACGTGGACCCGATGTATCAGTACTCGTTGCAGTGGTTTGTGCAGCTTTTCATAGTGGGTATCGAACAAGCTACTGCAGCCGATGAAATTGAGAAACGCCTGTTCAATCTCAAAGACTACTTTACGTACAGCTTCTACCAAAACATTAGTCGTTCTCTTTTTGAAAAGCACAAGCTTATGTTTTCCTTCTATCTCTGTTTGAGCATTTTACGTCAGAGTAATGACATCATTGAGGAGGAGCTACGCTTCCTTTTGCATGGGCCTTCGATGATTGAAGCGCCATCTGAACCCAACCCTGATCCTGGGTGGTTGGCTCCCACGGTATGGAGCGAGTTATGCTATTTAGGCAACCACTTTATGGAGCTCCGTGATTTTGTACGTCACCTAGCTGAAAATTCGGGGTACTACTATGATGTGTTGTTTTCCTCTAATGCGGAATACGAGTCGTTTTATTCTAGCTGGGGTGGGGAGCTTACACCTCTGCGTCGCATGATGATCCTCCGATGTATTCGGCCAGATAAGCTCGTCGAGGCTGTCCATTTTTTTGTAGTGAATACAATGGGAGATCGCTTTATTCGGCCACCACCCTTTGATCTCTTGGTTTCGTTCAAGGATTCCACTGCCATAACACCGCTTATCTTTGTGCTTTCGCAAGGTGCGGATCCATATGGTGACTGGAAACGTTTCGCCGAGGGTCAGGGCATGGGCAAAAAATTGTATGATATCTCGCTCGGTCAAGGGCAAGGCCCACGAGCCGAACGCATGCTCCGGGAGGCCATGGAAAGTGGGGCATGGGTATTACTTCAGAACTGCCACCTCGCTACGTCGTGGATGCCAACCCTGGAAAGTATTGTTGAGTCCATGCCCATGAGCGTCATTCACCCCAACTTCCGCCTGTGGCTGACATCGATGCCAAATCCATATTTCCCCGTCTCTGTGCTTCAGAATGGTGTAAAAATGACCAACGAACCCCCCAAGGGGATACAAGCCAACGTCACACGCTCCCTATTGGCCTACTCGAACGATTACCTTGAGAGTTGCAGGAAGCCTGATGAATTTAAGAAAATATTCTTTTCGATGTGCTTCTTTCATGCCCTCATCCAAGAGCGTCGCAAGTTTGGCCCGCTTGGGTGGAATATACCTTACGAATACACCTCTGGTGATTTAGACTGCTGTGTTGAGCAGATTAAGATATTCCTGGAGAAATATAACAAACTACCATACAAGGTGATACGGGAACTGAGCGGAAATATCCACTACGGCGGGCGTGTCACCGATAACTGGGACCGTCGGACCCTGAACACGCTTTTGGAACACTTCGTGACGCCGGAACTGCTTCAGGATGGCTACCTATTTTCTCCATTGCCTTTTTACCAGTCTATTGCCGTTTCCAACCAGAGAGGATATCTTGACCATGTCGCCTCATGGCCCATAAATACCAATCCTGAGGTCTTTGGGCTTCACGAAAACGCTGATATCGCGTGTGCGCGCACTGAGACCTTTGAAACCCTCGCCGCGATCGCTCAACTAGAAGGCGAGCAGGCAACAGGCGGGATAAATAACAAGACGCCGGATGAGCAAGTGGCGGAGCTGGCGGGGGTGATCAAAGAAAAACTACGCCAACCGTTTGATATCAACAAGTTCCGCACCAAATATCCGACAAAGTACGAAGACTCCATGAACACCGTTTTGGTGCAAGAGGCGATTCGTTTTAACCCCTTACTTACCGTTATTCATCAAGCCCTGGACACGTTGCCATTAGCCATGAAAGGTGAGGTGGTGATGAGCAAAGAGCTGGATGACGTCTACCGCTCGATCCACAACAACCAAGTCCCAACGCAATGGGCGGAACGGGCGTACCCTAGCTTAAAATCATTGGCTGCGTGGATAGACGATTTGGTGCTACGTCTGGATATGATACAAGAATGGTTTGATAATGGCCACCCGAAAATATACTGGATATCCGGCTTCTTTTTCCCCCAAGCCTTTCTTACGGGTATTTTTCAGAACTTCGCACGGCAGAAACAGGTGTCGATTGACACTATTAGTTATAGCTTCGAGTGGATGCAGATGGACCCGTCGGAGATCACATCTCCGCCGCCCATTGGGTGTTATGTAAACGGCATTTTCATCGAAGGAGCCCGTATCGACCCTGAGACGATGACGCTCGCTGAGTTAAAGCCCAAGGTTCTCTTTGAACCCGCTCCCCTGCTTTGGCTCAAGCCCATTATCAACCGTTCCAAGCCCCCTGAGGGAACGGTCTATGAATGCCCTTTATACAAAACCATTAGTCGAGCCGGCACGCTTAGCACCACCGGCCACTCCACAAACTTTGTTTTATCGGTGGAGGTTCCGACCACGGTGGACCCTACTCACTGGGTGCGGCGTGGTGTGGCGATGTTGTGTGCTCTGAATATTTGAGAAATGGCTGATGGCAATATTAGACAACGATATAGGGGAATTGGGACCAACAAACCATTTTCGTTGTAGGCACCTGCACAGTACCCAGTGTGCTTACTTTCCCTTTAGGCACATTATTATTCTTGGCACAATTTTGACTTTTTTTTTTACCCAGTTATTTTTTTTAGTAGTTGTTGTTTTTGATTACAAGATTGCCGCCATTTAATTTTCCTACAAAGCCTTCCAGGGGGACCTTTAATGGGATACGTGTTGGATCATTCTGTGCCTATAGATATAAAATTAAATATGCAATGTAAATAAGAAATCCCTGCTATGTAAAATTTTAGAGTGAAGACAACAGCGAAAGCAAAAATCACAACTGGGTGTAAACGCTGATGTAACGCAATTAAGTTTGTATGACATTCATTACAACAGAGTGTCCATATGCAACGATCGACTAAGCCAATATATACGGCGCTTACCTTTACAATATGTTATGCTCTTCATGTATGCATTCAGCTGATAAAGCTTTACACCAAAATAATCTTCTGTATTCCAAGGGAAGAAAAGATAAAATTTGGAACTTACCATAGGTGAAGTTTATTCTTGCTCATTTATTCATTATTTTTCTTATTCCACTTTTCATTTTTTATACACACATTATATACTCTAATATTTATTTGTGTTTAATTGACATTTTTAAGTGTTTTTTTTCTAAAAAATATATCAGAAGCACATTCGATTCAAACAATAAAATAAAAATCATCAACTCAAATTGATTGTAATATAGCGGTTGTTAGAAAACATAATGGTCATAACAGCTTTATATGACATATCATACATTATGGTATATTTATCATCTTCTTTGCGGTTTTAGCTCTAGCTCTTTGTGTCGTTACCACAGGTCGGATAATTATCTAATGAAGAGAATATTGTCATAAACTAGAATTCTAGGGTTTTCTTGTGTAAAAACTTTAGCAATTTGGAAGATGCAAGCAACCTTGAATATCTAAGAAAAAATGAAGTAGTCGTAATTTCCCAACTGGATGTCTCAAACGATTAAGGTCGTGCATAATCTCTAACTGAATCTGTAGCAGTAGTTTGAGCGGACCCGATTATTTTGTGTTAAAAATTATCAATAAAACAAAAAAAAATGGTGTTTTTTGACTCGTTGCTTGTTTTACTAGAAAAGGCTGTCGATCAAGTGAGACTTGGCCATACCTGATGATGTCACATGGGACGCATTCTCGCCACTTCTGCAGTTACTTACAGTTTACTTTTGCTAGCGTTGTGCTGGTGGCTTTCTCTATATTTATACTCGGATACTTATCATACTTTCTTCCTAATATTGAGATTGAAATATGAATTAATTTATCAAGGTTAACCCATATAAAAAGAAAAGACCGAATGGGTGAAAACAGTTATGAATATGGAAACCTTAGGGTTTGTGTTATTCTCAATACAAAAACAAGGCTTAAACGTATCGTGTCAGGTGCTATTATTGTAACAAACGCAATGGCAGTTTTTTTTTCTGTATCAGGGTCATAGTAGCAAGCATGTGTGAGGTGTCAGGGGATACTAAACATAGCGCGAGCTTATGCAACTCGTTTATTTAATTCGTCAATAAATTCAGAAGCAATGTTTATATGCATAGCAACGAAGCTTAAACGTTATTTTTTAACATGTCCTGGACTTATCCGAGTGCATATCTTGGATGGAAGTTACAAAATCTATTTTGTATATTGTGGTCATGTTTTCTACATTTCTCTACATTTAGTACTGCAAAACACATGGGTCTTTTGTGACGCTGATATAACAAAGACTCTGATATACCATATCATCTCGACATGGTTTTCTAATCATAACTCTCACATTAAATTTAACCCTTTGAATAAACGAAACGATGAAAATAAAGGTGCGATTATCAATAGTGATGAATTTGAATAGAGGAAAGAAACAAAATTAACGACTGCAACCTGTTGAATAATCTAAACAAAAAATCCTAAAATAATCCAAAGATTTTTTGATTTTTTTACTCTCAACCCTTTATCGATATATTTAATATCGCTTTCGAATTAGAGGGATGTATAAATAATCCAACCAACGTAAGGTCTTCTAGAGGCCTTCAACGTACACGGTGAATCTTTGCAAGTAGTTCAAAATAGCCGTGCATCAAAAAATTATCAAAAACAATCACAGTTTCTGCGTATTAGAAGTTAACCTCAATTTGCCCTTTGACATCGAAACATGAGAATTGGAAAAAAAAACGTGGCATCTATTGTTCATCTTAAAGACGCATTACGAATTTCTGATTAAAGCTAGGTACTACGGGTACTCTTTCTATTTGATAACGTATTTAGTGTATTATGGAGTCCTGCTTGAACGTATCTTAGGTAACGATTTTTTCTATATCCCTAGAGTGCTGTATATTTTATTAATGATGTATATTTTTCATAGTCCTTAGCTTAATTTCGTTTTAAGTTCTCTTAGATTTTGTATTTACTGAATTCCACCAGAAAGACTTGGTTAATAATTAAATTTATTCATTCTCTTGTTCAACTATCTAGACGTGTAATACCGATAAAATGTAAAAAAGTCTTTTATAGTTGAAACTTTTAGGAGTATTCCATACTATTTTTTCATTTCCTTCTGTAATATCATAAGGAGTATACTATTATTATTATTATTGTTGGCATGCTAAGCTTGAATTAGTTGAATGTCTCAAAATGAGAATTTATCTTTTATTTCCCCCATTTCACTTTCAAGCTTCACCGAATTTTCCTTGTCCAAAGAAAAAGAATAAAAAATTGTTTCTGGATTAAAATCAATGTCGACAAAAAACGTTGACACCTTCAATGCCTCACATAATCGACTGCGAGCAGCCGATTTTCAAGATGCCGAGGAACGTGAAAACGCGGCGTACGCCGAACGTCACAATCTTCAGATCCTCTTCAGCGAGTTTGGTGCGCATTTGCGCGAGAAAGACCCTAAAACAGAGCATGAGGCTGAGCGCATTCTATTAGACCTGCTTACACACCGTAAAGCCGAGCGTGACCGTGCAGCCCTTCGTTTGCGCTTCAAAAATTCATTTGAGGTTAGTCTGGAAAACGGTCGTCGTATGCTGAAGATGACTGTAGAACAGGACACGGCCTTTCTACAGGTCACACAGAAGACTCGAAACATCAATCTGGATGGTAAGAATCCGATCACTATAGAGCAATCTGAAGAACTGACTGAGCTATTTTATGAACTTGGACGTTTTGTATTGGAAACCCAGAAGGGTGAAGTAAGTGGATTTATTAGTATTGATGACCGTGATGTTTACTTGCTTTCGGGTGGAAAGGACTGTTTGAATGCTGGAGACGAGTTATTTAACGTAGCACTTCTTATGAACATGAACGCCAGCAAAGTTGAAAAAGAGAAGCAAGAGAGCCAACATGATTAAAGCGATTGAATGATGAAAAGATAGTAGGGAGTGAAGATTAGTATCACTATTAAGTTTTCTTTTTTTAATAGTCATATTTTATTATATCATGAGCATTGTCATTTTTTTCATATATTAAAAGTTTGCAATGGATGTGTTTCTTCCCCTTTATACTGCTCGTATTGATTAAAATGAATGCAAACAAAAAGATTATTTGTAATAATTTGTTACAAAGGTTATACCAAACTCTGATGGGGAAATATAAGAGTAGAACCCCAATAGCGCGCCAAAGCAAAATTGGTACACTAGAATTCGTACCCCTTTATTCACTTTATTACGGAAGATTATATGCATATACATACAAATAAAAGAGTTACTCGTGAAGCTTGTGATTTATTCCGGCAAGTTGTACAAAAGCCACTTCATAACGAGATTGTGTCTGGTAAGGGAAATACTCTGCGCATTATCTCTCCACACACCCTTTATTTTTATTTCTTCTTCTTTTTTTCCCCCTCCTTCACATTCTAGGTCATTAAAA